CCTGTTCCCGCGCGGTCAGGGTCTCAATCAGGCGCTGCACGGCGCGCGTGCCGTGTGTGTTGAGCGCCACCTCCACCAGCTCGCCGCCCCCGGCCACGCGCTTGAGCACCGCCAGGCGCTGCTCCTCGCTGCAGCGGTCCAGCAGCTTCTGCACCAGGTAGTTGCCGAAGGGGTCCACCATCAGCTCCACCAGGCTTTCCAGGATCTCGCCGAAGACCACCTCCACCGCCGCGCCGCCACCCTCGTCAAACTTCTTCTGCAGGAAGCGGCAGCCCAGCTGGTCCTTGGCCGTCTCCGCCACCTTCCCCGCCACCTCCTCCAGCGTCGAGTACTTGAAGGTGCCCACCAGGCGCAGCTCCTCGGGGTTGCCCGACCCGCCGGACCCGCCCTGGCCGCCGTCCGGGCCGCGGTGCGAGCGGCCGCCGCGGTCGCCGCCGGGCTCGCCGTACCGCGCGTGCCCGTGCCCGTGCCCCTGCGCCGACCGGCCGTGGCGACTGCGTTCTCCCCGGCCCCGCCGCTCATCGTGGTGGTGGTGCCGGCCGTTGCCGCCACCGCCGCCGGGCGGGCCGTACTCGTGGTGGTGAGCGAGGGCGGCCGCAGCCGCGCGCGCGCGCGCGCGCGCGCGCGCGCGCGGCCGCCGCCGCAGGCCCGTTCTGCATGTAGGGAGGCGCCAGCGCCATCTGCGCCGCGCCCATCATCAGCTGCTGCTGCAGGGCCGCCTGGTAGGCCGCCGCGTACGCCGCCTGGTAATCGGCGCCCGGCTGGCCGCCGCCTCCTGGCTGGTGTGCGCCCAGGCCGGCCTGGGGCCCCGGCCCCTGCTGCTGCGGCGCGTGACGGTAGCTGTGCCCCGGACCGGCGCCGCCGCCGGGCGCCTGCATGGAGTGCAGGGCCGCCGCCACCGCAGCAGCGCTGGCCGGCGGTGGCGGCGACGCGGCGGGGAGCGGCGGCGTGGCGGCCGCCATGTGCGCGGCGGCCACGAGCTGCTGGTGCTGCTGGGCCAGCGCGGCGTGCTGCACCTGCTGCGCCAGCAGCGCCGGGCTGGCGCGCCCCGCCAGGCTCAGCTGGCTCAGCGCCTGGAGCACCGCGGGCGACATCGCGCCGGGCGCGGCTGACCCCGCGCGCTCCGGCCCGCCGTCCGGCCCGCCCAGGCCGGGGGAGGGCGAGGCGCCGGCGCCGCGCAGCAGGTGGGCCAGCTCAGCGTGCCCGCCCAGCTCAGAGTAGAGGGTGGAGGCGTCCAGGGGCGGGGGAAGTTTCTTGCCGGAAGCCACCTGGGCGCGGTAGAAGCGGTCGTAGTCCTCGTCCAGCCGGATGTCGGTGGACTGGCCCCCCAGGCCACCCTGCACGATGCAGGATGGGGGGAGGGGTTGCGCATGATGCTGAGATGCGCTTGGGCCAGGCCGCCGCTGGGCCGTGCTGGCGGGGCGCCCTCGTGGGGACAGACCCACTCAATGCCCAGGCAGGGTGGTAGGCGTGCCCCTTTCTCTAGCACGCAGGACACCAGCTGAACCCTGACGTCCATACGAAATCGCCCAGCGACAGTGTTTGTCCCAGTGCATATCGTCTCCTAGCACAAACACGCGCCCAGTACAGACCAAGACTTGACGGCCCCACCCCTACAGTCCCATGGCTCAGCGCACCAGGTGCAGAGCCCATCGATCGTCCAGCTGTGGGGGCGCCGATATTGCGCGTGGAATGTCCAGCTCGTCCAGCAGAGTGCCCACGCTGTGCGTCATATCCCGCCTGCAACCCGGTGGCATGGGGGATGTTTGGACGATGGCCCGGTGCGCGAGGACCGCGCAGCATGCTATCAGGCCCAATAGTTCCATATGAATGCTCATGCACTCACCAGTCTGGGCTTGGGGCGGCCCCCGAGTCCACCTGTCCACCAAACATGCTCCTCCGGTGGGGGCGGGCGGAGAGCTGCGCTCCTGGGGCGGGCGCCCTGCAATCAGTAAGACAAGCACATCGTTCTAGGAGATGTATTATGCACCAACTAAAGCCACTCCTTCCCCAGAGCACCCCAGGTCATGTGCTGGTGCTCTGTCGAGGTGGCAGGGGAGTGTCAGGGGTGGGCGCCCAGCTACATCCCCAGGGTCTAATGCGGAGCCTCCTCGTTGCGCTTGACTCATGCTGTTTGAACAGCTGCTGCGGGGTCCTGGAATGTACCGTGAGCCTAAGACCTTGGATACAACCGACGTAACGTTACCTTCCTATCTACAGACATGCATGCCTGGCCTCTATATCTATACCTCGGCAGGGCATGGGCATGAGGGGTATCAAACAGCCTGTTACGTGCAAGGACTGGGCTGCAGGGCATCTGAAGGCGGATACAGCCCATACATTGTTTACTAGTCCCTAACCGAAGCTCCTCAGGGCAGGCGCCGCACCCAGATACCCAGAATATTTCCCTGCGCATCAAGAGGATAGGGTGAGAAATGATGTAGTGTTGTGATCTGATCAGGCACCGGAATACGGCATTGTGAGACACAAGTCACACTGCACACCTTCATCAGGGCCTGGACGTGGCGAGGGTCTGCGCCGGCCGGCAGCTCCCAGGCCAGGGAGCTCTGCTGGCCCTTTCCGCCATCCTTTCCTATAGTTGGGGCAAGCAAGAGACCCAGTGAGGAAACAAATACTACTGAAAGGCTGGCACACTGCTTCGTCCCACTGTCAGATGCCCCAAGGACCACTCCATGCACTCGGGTGTGCACCTCACCTCCCACTCTGGTGTCCGCCGTCACACGCAGGGTCTTTCCAACCAGGTCCACATGCATCTTGGCGCCACGGGGGACCTGCAGCCTGTACTGCCAGCCGCCGGGGTGTGCCTGGGCCTGGGGGAGCCACTCCTCCCTGCCACGCGGCGCCTCCTGGCCCTGGGGCGAGGCATGGGCGAAGCCACCCGCAGCCCCTGGGCCCACGTTAGCAGGAACCCCAGTGCTGGGGTGGGCCGGCTCCTGTGCAGGGCGGGCGAAGCGGGGCTTGTCCTGACCCGTCAGCCGCCATGAGCGGAGCTGGGAGGGCGTGGCGGTGGGCTGGCTGGTGTAGAGGGACAGGCGAACGGGGACAGCCATGCACGGCCTGGCATAGCGTGGGGGTGTATCTCCCAGGCTCTTGACAGGAGGTTGAGCCGTGGCCTTGGTGTCCTGGGACGGCACGGAGGTCGGTGAGGGGGGGGAAGGTTACGCGACACCACCCTGCTGCCATCCGCTCACGAAGCAGAGCTTCCGACAGATCGAAACCCTAATCCTCTGTGTGGCGGAGATACGTTCCGCTGGAACAGTAGCGCAACAAGTCTCTCTTCACATGCACCGGCTCACGGCTCGATATTTGCTGCTGTTAGTCCTTGACTCGATGGTTGTCATGGACCGCTGCGATATCGGGCAGCCAGGCGAAGCCCTGTCCTCCAACCCGGGGACCTCAGGCTGGAGGTATCGCTGGACCCTCGTGAGGCGCTCCTTGACAGAAACAGACATGATGGATCCAATCTTGACGCCTTGGGCTTTGGAAGTTGATACAAATTGAGACGCATGGCGATTTTGTGGTTACTTTTCGGTATGGATCCAGTGCCGTGGCGGAAACGTGCTTTGGAATCTCAGCACGGGACCCTTCCGCAGGATGTATTGGATCCCTCCCAATGTGTAAGACTCCGCAGATTCTTGCGATCACTGCTCCTGCATGACATATCACCAAATCTGCAATGTCGCGGGGCAGGAAGTCACGATTTGAGCTTGCGTTGTAACCTAGTTGTCGACGGGCTCCTCGAGAACCAATCCAAGCAGGGGACCACACGCTGGATGAGGCGGAGACCAGGCATCCAAGGTCTCCAACGGACCCAAGCTACACGTGTACGGGATCTGACAAACGTCTGCCGTCCCCATGCGCCCCCAGGCCCGCTGCTCTGTACTGAGCCTCATGCTGATTGGAGCTCGCCATCTCATCTCTAATGGCTCTCCCCACCTGCAGGAGTCCTTCAAGGCACTGGGTGACCATGTCAACCAGACCAAATTGGAGCTCATGCGAAGCCAGATGGCCGTGTTCAAGGAGAGTCTCGAGCAGTTTGCGCTGAAGTACAGGTGGGAAGGCTGGCATTGTGCGGGATTCAGTACGATTCTGATACCTTGGTTGATTATCTGATGTGCGCATGAGTGGTCCAACTTACTTTTGCCTGAAAGTTCAAGACCTGCTGCTGCGCCGGTGCAGGTCAGACATACGCCGGGACCCTGCCTTCCGAGAAAGCTTTCATGCCATGTGCGTCACCATTGGCGTGGACCCACTCGCGTCCAACAAGGGCATCTGGAACCGCCTCCTCGGCTTTGGAGGTGCGCAGGGCTGCATGACTGGGTTGGGGCCCACGATGCGAGGGCGAGGAATGCTCCTCGTCCTCTACATCCATCCTAGGAGGGGTAGCATCCCTGCTGCGCATCCCATCAGCGCCTGGGATTGTGCTGGTAGGTGTGTGCACGCAAATTCACCAAAGCACCACTCACCCTATCCTCCCCACCCGCGCCCCCTAGACTTTTACTACGAGCTGGGCGTGCAGTGCGTCGAGACCTGCCTGGTCCTCCGATCCAGCGTGGGGGCCCTAGTGGAGCTCAACCTCCTGCTGCGACACATACAGGCAAGGGACCGGAGCGGGGCCAGATGCCATTCATGTCAGTCCAGCTCGGCATTGACCACCACTGGAACCCTCAAGGCCCCTTGAACATGCCTTTCTAATCCTCCCACCTCAATTTATCAGAGGCGAAGGGGCTCGGCGGCCGAAGCGGTGTCCGCCGATGATGTGCTCAAGTCGCTGGAAAAGCTGTCGGTCCTGGGTGGCGGTTTGGGCGTGGTGACGGTCGGCGGCAGCCGCTACGTCAGGTCTCAGCCCATGGAGCTCTCCAGGGATGCGGCAGACGCGCTCGACTTTGCGCAGGTGGGCCTGGGGGGTGGCAAAGTGGGTGCAGGGTCACGGCGAGGAGACGTCCCTTGTCACATATTGCCTGCGTGCGGCTCCATTTGCTGATACTGTGCCCACAAGATGGGTGTATTGCAGGTGGGCGTGCACCCTGCTTGATCACGCGCTGCCACAGACCCCCCAGATCCTGATCTGCTGATTGCACCCCACCCCAATTCCTGGTGCCGCAGCGATCGGGGGGCTTCTTCTCCGCCCCAGACCTATCTGCTTCCTTGGGCTGGGCCCCCGCTCGCACCGAGTTCACGCTCCAGCAACTCCTGCGGGATGGACTGACCTGGCTGGACCTGCCCCCCGACGCCGGCGCCCCCTGCCTCTACTGGGTGCCTGCCGTGGGCATGGAGCAGGCGGCCGCAGCATACGCTGCCGCCCACAGGCTCGCATGACGCAGCGGGCATCGGGAACGGAGGACGCTGCCAAGTTTTGCATGCTCGATCTCCTGTGCTGCCTCATTTGTTGCCTGGAGAGGCACCACAGCCCGCCCAGCTGCGGTCTATCACGTTTGGAAGCACAGCGGCACGCAGACATTCTCTGCACCATTTGAATGTGCTCGCCTGTCTCCATCGAAACTGGCAGGGTTACACATTGTTCACACACAGTCTGAGCTGTAAACCTGAGGGCAATCAGCAGCCAGCGCGCTGAGGCCTGCGTGCGGAGTCCAAATGATGCACCCATACCTGTCCGAGACGAGCTCAATCGCGGCCCTTCACCCTCGGAGGCTGTTCTCGCCGATGACCACGCGAAAGTCGTCAAAGCCCTCGGGGTCCAGCATGCCCGCTGCGATGTAGGCCTGCCTCTCCCGGATGGAGTCGATGAGATCCTTGGAGTCGTCGGTCAGCTCGTCGTACGCCGTCACCGGCTCATCGGCGTGCACCGCCTCGTGCAGGAGCTCGTGGTATGTGCGCTCGGCGCCGCCGCGCAGCAGCGCCTTCCACCAGCCGGGCGCCGCCTTGGGAAGCAGGATGTGCAGCTGGGGGTGTTTGGGTGTTGAGGGAGGAGGGGTAGGAGTGGGGGAAGTATTGAGATGGAGGAGGAGGGGTTGTGAAGAACACGATGAACAAGCCAAAGTGTTGATGATTGTGGGAGGCGGTGAGGCCGGGCCATACCAGAAATCCCCCCCAAACAACCACGACCCTGTCATCCCCTTGCCTCACCTCTGCATCCTCCAGGCACCATGTGGCGTCGGTCGCCTTGACGCCCGCCCACGAGCTCCGCGTCCAGCAGCTTGCCATACCAGCGCAAGTCGGCCGCCAGGCGCAGCGGCGCAAAGCGCACCTGGCGAGCGAAGAGCTGGGCGTGAGCTGCTTGTCAATGAGGCAAGCAAGAGACTCGAAGCTGCACCTGCAGGCAGACGAGAAGCAGCAGCACTCACCCTAACCTCGGCCGCCCGCGTGCCCTGCGGGAGGCTGATGAGGCAGGAGACGTCTGTAGAGGTCTGGGACCACGAGACCCTGCTGTCCTCGGGCTTCGCCAGCCAGGCCTGGGACAGGATCGCGGTGCGTGAGACTTCAGGGTAGGATTGCGGAATGAGCGGCCGGCAGGGGCATCCTGGCATGGCCTCGAGTGGCATGGTCCCACCCGAGCACGGCACTGGGACAGGTGAGACGCCCAGGTCCGTCTCGACGTCACACCATCACCGCCACTCACGGAGCGGGCTCGTCGTGTAGCAGCATCCAAGGGCGTGGAGTCGTAGACTGTTCTGAGGTCTGGCAGGCACTCAGGACCGTGTGCGTCATCAGCACACCGCGTCTGGGCTGATGCCTCGGAATGGGTGTCGCCAGGGGACTGTGCGTCGGGTGTTGGCGGCGCCGTCGCCTCCAGTTCCTGGATCGTCACGCTGCTGTTTTTGTAGGAGGATGCCTGCCCCACCGGCCTCTCCTCAGCCTTCCCGTCCCTTCTCAGGAAGCCCTTGGGCAGGGTCGGGAAGGCGAGCGGCTGCGTGTCCTTCCCTGCGGCCGGTGGTGGGAGGACGAGCGTGCGCACCTCCCGCGGCACTGCATCCCAGCCCGGCCCGCGCGGCCACTGCCGCGGCGCAAGTCGCTGTGTGCGCTGAGCTCGGTCAAGGCAGCCCCGGACCAGGGCCAGCACTTTGGAGAACGTGCTGACGATTGTCGCGCTGTCGGGAGCATCGCCTCCTCCCGTCTTTGCTTGGCACGCGCGCAGAGCGGTCCACAGCGCCCCCCGCTCCGCCGTCAGCGCCGCCAGGTCGGCCGGAGGGCAATCTCCCACAATGACCGCCAGTCGCCGAGCCGCCTCGCCGACCAGCCCCGGGTCGTCCGCCGCAGCCAGCGCACACCCCAGCAGGGCCGAGGACGCGCTTTCCAGGACCTCACGCCGCGCGGCCTTGCTCCGCGCGCACAGCGCGGCGCAGAGCCTCGACGCGCTCTCCACGACCTCAGGGCTGGAGTACTCCAGCAGGTCGCGCAGCAGCGGCACCGCCCCCGCCCCAGCCAGCGCCTGGGCCGCCTCGCAGCTCGTGCGCACGAGCAGGCCAAGCGTGCCCAGCGCGCCTTCCAGCAGTGTCGGCCCCTCGGGCAGCCCCTCGCTCCCCGGCAGGTCCAGGGTCAGCAGGTAGTCCCCTGGGCAGTGTGCAGGGTGGGCGCTGACGCCGTCCTCAGGCCGGCATGGCAGGTGGCGGGAGTCACCCAGCGCCACATGCTGAACCCCTTTTCTTAACCGATAACTGGCAGCGCATCCCACCTGCAGGATTGTCTGTGTAGTCCGCCGCGTAGCGCCGCTTCTGGTAGGACCCGGGCGAGCCGTCGGGCCCCGACACCCTGGTCATTCTCTGGGGCGACGCGGCGTGCAACGATTTCACGACATCCAGCAGACCTGCGAGGAGGTGGGGGGGGGAGAGGGGGGTGGAAACCCTGCCACGGGGCGCGTCGCCCGGCGTC